CTGCATAATACGCATCCCTAATTTTGCTTAATATTATTTTAGAAAAAAATTGCTTATTTCACATGGAAAATTAGGGTATATTCTCAGTGCGAATCAATTTTCCGAGTTTTGATCTCTCAATTTCTGTAGACCCTTCTGATAATTACTTTTCAAATGTATTTAAATAAATATTTCAATCATTCCAATGCATAATTTCTTAACACGGATATATTTTTTAAAACTTATTCTAAATTTCCCCTCATTTGGATATAAAAAAGAAAAACAGAATATTATTGAAAAATAATCGGGGGAACAAATAATATTTGAAATATACCATGATAAATTAATGTTTAATATGTATGTGTGTGTATATATATATATATATATATATATATATTAATCATGTTGCTAAACAGGAAAGCCAAATTATATATATTTGTTAAATTTCCGACTTTTCTCTTAGGTGATTCGGAAACATGTCCGATTTATCAAATGTTACTCTTGGATTAATGGATTTGAAAAAAGATTAATTCAGTCAAATTTGGAAATCAGACTTCGACAGAGTGATTGAGAAGTAGCTCCCTATTTTATAGAAAATGAACTCGCCTAACTATAATTTTTACAAGACAAGAGAGTCTATCATACATAAAATAGGGAGATAATATTCAATCACCCTGTATAAATTTCTAGTAGTTACAAGTATATTTAGGCCCTTACGATAAAACTCAAAAAATATTTGGACGCCTAAAATCTTTGAATGAAGATTATCTTTTATTTCACGGAATATATATTTTTTTTACCAAGATGCTAGAAAAAGTTTTATTCAGTGGGTGAGAGATCGGGGTTATATGCCGGATGTGACAAAGTATTCTTATATTATATGTCGGCTGGATAATGTAATGTTAATCATATCAACTTTTGGCCGAGTATTATTATGAAGCAGAATAGAACCTTGGCGATTAATCAGTACTAGTATTTAACTGAATGAGTGTTATAAAGGTAACAAAGAGAACCTTAATCATCAGGAATGTAATATTATTCTGTGTGGCTACTATAATAATGCTTATTCTTAAATCAAATTCTTTGTTCTAAAATCGGACATTATATTCCGAACATCCTAATAATATCCAGGGTATTTAAATTATAAATAGTGGACATTTTAGAGAGATCACAGCTTAATCAATTGTGAGACCTTAGCAAAATCTGAAAATATTTTAAATAATATCTGGCCTAATAAAATGCTGAAATTGATAACAGCTGACGTGTTTTCTTTTAATTTTTGGTTCAGAAATGGTATAAATTATATTGAATAGCATCCAACAAATTTATAGATATATCTGAACTTTAATAATAAAATCTATAAAATATAATGATTTCAGGCTACATTTTGTGAATTCTTCAGCAATGTGACACTCGTTTACTTTGTTTATCTTAAAATCTTTTGAAATATGTATTTTGCCGTTACAGTTTTGGGAGTTAAGTTTTTGAAGCATTTAATCTTCATATAATTAAAAAAATATGAAGAAATTTCTTAAATAATGATTTTGATTGTTGTTCGCAGTCTTTGTTCATGATTACCAAATGCAACATTAAGCAGGAAATAAACTGATTTCTTGTAGAAACATAATTTTATAATCAATATCTGAATAAGATTTATCAATTGAGGTTTTGCTTTAAGATACGGCATCATTTTATATATATATATATATATATATATATATATATATATATATATACATTTCTTAGTATAACACCGTATCTGCCGTTGTCCATTATGTCAGTGAAATGCCAAATGTGTTGGAGTCTGATTTAGCGTTATCGGATGGCCTTGCTTTAATCAGTTAAACATTTCTCGACAGAAAGATGAAAATGTCGCAAAGTGAACGAGACAATGGTGCTGTCAAACTGTCAGATTAAAACTGACCCGATCATATTAGGAGGGTCAGTTGATCTTACGATGTTTTCTGGTGTTTGATTCATTGGAAAATTTGAAGATTTTCTCAAAAAATATTCACCAGTTTTATTCGTTTGTGTTAAAAGAAGTCGCAGAATAAGGATCATTATTTAAAAACAATAATTGTCTTTTGAAATAATACCATACAGGCTAACGAAGAAAACAAGGAAAGAAACACTTCGCAATATCTGTCAATGCAGTTAAGTATAGAAGAATCCGCAATAAGTTACCTTATTTATATACTATACATTTTACAATATTGTCTTGTTAAAGTAGCCCTCTTATAATAAAAGAAAATGAAATTTTAAATGATCAATTATTAGGTCGTAAGATTAATTTTGTTAAAAATATCGCATTTGTGTTGGCTTGTATTTCGTTTCGCATAAGCATGTTAGAGATCATGTTTACTACAATTCATAATTTTCAATGAAATTTACTTCAGAGACTCGAAGAAACAGATTGTGGATTTACAGAAGGATGTTAAGGATGCCATTGAAAGAATATGTAAGCTACGATGGTGTTTTAGAGAGGATGCAAAGAAAAAGCATACTCATACTTAACATCAGGAAGAGGCAGCAGAAATTTATTGGGAGGCCTAATGAGGAAGGGGGCCTAGTAAATCTGATACACACAGGGTACTAGAGGGGAAAGAGGGTCAATGGAAAACAACAGGTGATATACTTAACGGACTAAATCAATTGGATGGCAGAATAGGGTCTGGGAGAATTAAAACGTCAGAGCCTCAAGAGACAGGAGGAAATGAAGAGACTTCAACGTCTATGTTCTGCAGTGACACGGCACATAAAAGATGTTTAGTCCGAGGCTTCATGTCATTTTCCTGATATTAAAAATATATCATTACAGTAATCCGAAAACTTTAGATATAGGAAGACATAATGACAAATAAAACAGAAAAAGAGAAATATTGAAAACAAATTCAATCAATAAATCTATATACCTGTATGGATGTTTGTTTGTATGTATATTATAATTATTTTATTTTAAAAATATGATTACATCGTAACACCGAACATGTCCGCGTGTCAAAAAAGAAACAAAATTCATGAATTTTAAGTTAAGACCATAGATATTAAGTTTAATTTTTACAATTAAATTTATTAATTTAGTTTCAGTATTGAAACATTAATGTGTTCTGTGTCGCAATGGAATCATGTTTTTAAAAGGAATATATATATATATATATATATATATATATATATATTAAAATAATAAGCAGGAACAGT